TTTGTTTTGTACTCCCTATTGCCAAAATCTCTTGCTTTATAGATTACAAAACCCAATTGCTGAATTATCTCTTCAAACAGACTATTTCTCAGTCCATATGACTTTCATTTACAATCCCTGGTTCTCTTCTAACTGGGCAGTTGGAAAATGAACAAACCACACACAAAGCTTGGCACAAAGAAAACTTGACCACTGTGTAAGTAGGATCACACCCAAGGAACAAAGCACTTATGGCATTGGCCCATGACTCTGAGCAGAGAGAAGGAACACTTAAAGAGGAAACTGGCTTTTCCAAAATGTACTAAAACATATCCGCTCAAAATAGATTTAACTACTTTGCACAATCGACTTTACTCTGGTTCAGGTTATGCCTGCTCAAGTCTGTCTGTCTTCCTGCAAGTTGCGTTTTTGTTCCCACAGCTGGAGTTCCTGCTGCGTTGTTGGAAACCCTGTGTGCGATCAAGCTTTGGATTGTGAGCTCAGCAGCCCTCTGCCTTTCAGAACATTTGTCTCTGAAATGCAAAGTAGCCTTTGTGGTATTTTGAAAAAGTTTGTAGTGCACTTTGAATTACATTTTTGGGATGCTTCCCAAGACTTCTTGGTGTTTTTGTGAGAGTTTGTGTACACTTTGGACTACTTTGGTATAAAATCTTAGAGCAGTGGTCTGGACCCCCACTAAGGGTCGCCAAAGCTTCATGGGGGTCCCGAAGCCTTCTTGATGTTAAGGGGTGTAAGAAAACTTTTAAAATACAAACTTTGATAGTCTTCAATTCTGATAAATTCTGTGTTTTCTTCTCCCTGCCACTTGGCCATTGTACTATTTGCGAATTGCAATTTGTGAAAAAGTTCAAACAAATATCAGGAAAACTAATCTCATATCAAAATGTATCCAAATTGCTTGTTTTATATAAACTCCATAAAATGTAACTTAGTCAGGGGTCGTCAGTTTACACAATGATAGAGGGCTGTCCCTTAATGAAAACGGTTGGTACCCCACTGTCTTAGAGCGTAGTATTAGTTAGGCAAAACACGGAAGCTGAGTCTGCATTAGCTGATTGCTATCAGCTGTTTGGATGTTACTTGACACTGGGTAATAAATCATATTCATGCAGGAGTATAAAACCTGACACGTCTCACTATTGCTCTGCTCATGTCAAGTTTGCTTGCTACTTCAGTTCCTTTCACCATGATTATGTAAAATATTTTATGTTCATGTATGTCATGTATGTAAATTTGTTTGATAGACATGTTCTGAAGGTTACGGTATTGCTATGTATGAAAAATAAATGGTCACACTGCAGGAATTCATTTTCTTGCAAACATGTTTTTTTAAATTGACTACAGCCCTAAAAATGTCTGAAAATATTTTGACTGCATATTGAAAATTCAGAATGTTATATTGGCTCTTTGTCATTTTATTGAATGTAACCATATACTGTAATCATTATCGTAAAGTTATGTTTGGTGAGTGTATAGGCAAGGTGTGAAAAGGTGGACTGCACCAGTGATGGTGTCATGTCACAAAACCCTGATTAAATCTCCCACTTCAATGCTGTCATACAATAAAACATGAAAAAGAGTACATAGTAGTGTACTTTAAAATTCAGTGAAGCACAAAATAAGATACTTTAGCGGCACATCAATCAGCAGGATGTTTCCTGGACTTTATTGTGCAGTAACTGATAACATCTACTCAGTTATGTAGTGGTAGACAAGAAAATAATGAAAAATCATGATTGCACTCACTGTCACTGCAGAACTAATGAGTGTTTCAACCCACGTTATGGATACATGTCTACAAACAGACTCAATACATCTATGATGCAAAATGAAAACATTACTCATACTGCATCAGCTACAGTTTATATAAGGGAATATAGAAGGGCCACTCTTGTTACCATGAGACTGTAAACCTGAACTGCAGATTTTATCTGAATGAGAAAAACCAAATGGTTCTCCTTGCTTCCACTTTACTCTGTCACAGAGAGGGATTTGGCCTGCTGATGTGCAGCTGGCTCATTCAGTGTTGCTTTGAAGCCACTTGATGCCTTGGAAAGACATACGGCCTGTGTGACCTGACATCACCCTGCGTGTCCACCTGGCTGTAAAAGCTGACAACAGTGCTGAAGTCCTGGAACTAACGTGTTTCACTATTTCTGCCAAAAGAGTCTGAACCACCACCCCCACCCACTCGCTTAGCTGTTCGCTGTCTATTAGGACTGTAATGCAAGGGGCAAACTCTCAAAATTTGAAACAGCATATGTGTGCTGAATATAATAAAAGAATAGTAAACAAGCATAGTTTATGTGTGTGTGTTCACATTTTAGCCATGTTAGCAGCTCTATGGATGGCAATGTTGGTCTGTTGGTTAATCCACCTCTTTGGTCCAGATATATCACACAAACCTTTGAATGGATTGCCATGAAATTTTGGACGAACATTCATGGGCCCCAGAGGATGAAGCCTAACAACTCTGACGATCCACTGACCTTTCATCTAGCACTATCAGCAGAAGGTTTTCACTTTCCAACATCCCAACATCTACTGGATGGATTGGCACACAGTTTACTAAAGATATTCACACAATGTAAACTAATGACTTTGGTGACCCCCTGACTTTTCCTCTAGCACCACCACAATGGATTTGGTTGAAATGTTTTAAAACTTGCCATGACATTCATACACACAGTTGTGTCTCCCTCAGGATGAATTGTAATAACTTTTGTGATCCTCTGACTTTTCATCCAGTGTCATCATCTTTATTTTTAATCTTCATTTATCCAATACTTGTACTCTAAACGAATGGCATTCCCATGAGCCTCAGCCGAGTAGCAAATGTTAGCATGCTGATCTAAACAATGGCAAACATTAAACCTGCTACATCAGCATTAGCATTTTAATTTTTAGCATTTATCATGATAAAGTTAGCATTTAGCTCACTGCACCACTGTGCCTCAGGACAAACATTTCCTTTTGTAAATTTTGAGATTGCTCAAAGTCTGGATTCTGGTATTTCTTAATGTGAGCATAGATCAAACATGAACTTAATATGCTGCCTTTAAATGGAACTTGTGAGCTTGTGATTACGACATAGGAAGTGGTGTACACTTGGTGTTAAAGTGGAAAATTGTGAGAACACAGCTGCTAGGCAAAGGCAACATGGACGCCCAAAGACTGTTGGCGTCTAGAAGGCTAACAGTTACCTAAAGGGAGCAAGCTGGCAATGTAATGCAGGAAATGCAGTGGCGTAATGAAAATATAAGGCCATTGAAATGTTAACATTTTCCTCAGACATATACAATTATGAAGAAAAACTATATGACTACCCTTACAGTATATTAATTTACCGTGCATTTACTTCCATGGCCATTTCTGAAAATGTCAGCAAACAGGTCACAACTCTGAGCTTTCAGAAAATACATACATACATAGGCCTACTGAAATTCTGGACATGATTGTTACCCGCTTACAGCAAGAACAATTGCTCATTTGTTTGTTTTATTTGTCACAGAGGACATTAGCAAAAGAAGAAATGTATGTCACACTGACCCACATGGACCGGGAAAACATGAATAGGCCTTGTAGATTTACATTTAGGGAAAATTCCGTATCCCACTGGACAAGGGATCATATCATTTATTCTGCGTGCATGCATGTATTTGTCTTTGTCTTTGTCAGTTAGTTTGACATTCTAGTAGGTGGTAAAAGTTCACTAGATGTTTCCAACAAATAGATACAGTAAATATATAGAATAAAAACAGCCCTTTGGAACAATGTTACTATCTGCACTATGAAACGGACCCTTCCTTGGGTTCCGGCACCTTTTCCTGCTGTGTGAGTAATTTTTCCCTTCTTGTTCTGTCGGATCCATGATTATTTCTGGTGTTTCTTTCACTGAAATGCCCTGCCCCTGTCTGAATCTCTTAAGCCATTTTGCAACTATTTCACCACTTATGGATGATGTATGAGGTGATCCTCTGCTTCCCTTGATAATATCCTCAATGAATTCATCAAAACGATAGCGAGGATTGGAGGCCAAAATGTTCCAAACTTAACAGAAAAATGAACACATGAACATATGTCAGCATTATAAGAACTACCAATGTCCCATCTGCTAACAACGTGCTTTATGACCTATATTGCAGTCAGCCACCAGAAGGCGATTGAGTGGTTTGGCTTCACTTTTGGACAGCTGTCATGTCGTCCATCGTTTGAACAAATGTTGTCAACTAATGTAATCTGGGGTTTTGTAGAATCAACCAATATCAATGTTATTGAGTATGCAGACAAATTGTTGGCCTTGGGGGACACTTATATGTGGTGAATATTTGAAACTTGTTATCACGTCACTGAGGTCCTGTACTGCACTTAAGCCATGTTCCATTCACTTAAAGGGGAACTTCAGCAGATTTTTACCCTAGTCTTGATCACTAGAGGTCTCAGAGTACTCGATAGGAAAAAGAACGACCAGAATTGGTTCTAGCAAACTGGAGTTCCTGCAGCTAATGGCCAGAGCTCCCAGTTAGTTATAATACACTTCTTGGGGGCATCTGTATTCTGAAGAAAGAGTGCCTTGTTGCTCCTCTTAGACAGCACAACGATGTAATTTAAAATGTCAGGGCCCCGTTATTGACAGAAGACATGGCCTTTTATCAACTCATACGTTGTGCAGAAACCGTACAAACAGTGACTGGTGCCTACCTGGTTTTTCCACCGCTCGCTTCACCGAAAGCCCGAGAATAATCGAATCACGGAGATAATGCCTTCGCGCGGACGAAAAAAAATTAGTTTCCCCCTCAAAATGTCGCATGTCTTCACACACTACTCTCCGGGGTTTGTTACAGCTTCCTGCAACAAACAATTTGCTTCTTGCGTGCGTTTCCCTCCAACAAGTGAAAGAGTGATCTGTCCACTCTCTTTCTTCTTCCTTACTCTTACCGCGAACAAGGTGTAGCGCTGAAGTCCCGTGGATTTCGACTGTGTTGGGAGGGGAAACGGCCATGAAGAAGAACTGTTGGTGGCAGGAGAGTGTGAAGAACCGGGGAGAGGGTAGTTGTGTGGAAGACATGGACATCTTGGTGAGGAGGGAAATAGAACTTTTTTTCGTTGGCGAAGGCATTGATCTTCCGTGATCGATTATGTTGGGCTTTCGGTGAAGAGCGGTGGAAAAACAGGTGAGGCGTCGACCCGCAGTTACTGGTGTTGTGTACCGGTTTGTGCTGGCAACGTATATGAGTTGAAAGGGCATGGTTTTGTCACGTAAGGCCGTATGATCATGTCCTGCACACGCACAGTTGTTGGTGCATGTGTGTGTCTGTTGAGAGGGAGGAGGCAGAGAAGGCAGCTCGCTTTGAGGGGATATAATGGCCCCCAAGAAGGTGGGTATTACTAAGTAACTGGGATGAGCTGCTGGCGAGTGAGCGTGCAGGTATCGTGCCGGAGGTTTGGTAGAACAGGCAGTTTGTCTGGTCGTTCTTTGTTCGTTATCGACAGTACTCGGGGATCGCTCTGAGATCAAGACTAGGGTAAACATCTGCCGAAGTTCCCCTTTAACTGATTAATTTGTATCTATTGCAGTGTAACTGTAAGGGGTGTAAGAAAATATTGAAAAATATCGAATTGCGATGTTTTCTTTTGTGATATTGAATATATATTCTCAAAAATGAATTTTTGTATTTGAATGGTTCAGCAAATTTGATAAATACAAATGCAGGAAAACATTTTTTACTCGGATTTTCTGCATGTGGTTGTGTTCTTTTTACTGTGACAGTTTTACTAAAAATAGAATTAAAACAAAAATCACAATATATCGGTATATTGAATTGTAACCCTTGTACTGTGATATGTATTGTATCGCCAGATTCTTGTCAATACATCTATCTCTTTGCACAGGTCTGATGGAGTGATGAGAACTGTGAACACAGAGAAACTCCTCAAGACCATCCCTATCATCCAAAATCAGATGGACGTGTTACTTGACTTCAATGTGAGTGCTCAGTATTGGCTGCACCAGTTGGCGTTTAAATTGATGGCTGACACTGGGTCCATATTTTACATGTTATTTGCATTTTGTGACCAGTTGGTTGTCTCCTACATACTCAAGACCTCCACCTTTCTTCCAGGTCAACGCCAACGAACTGACAAACGGTGTGATCAATGCAGCCTTCATGCTTCTGTTCAAAGATGCGATCCGACTGTTTGCAGCATACAATGAGGGCATAATCAACCTCCTGGGTAACAACAAGCTTTTGTTTGGGCGCCGTCATTCTGTTTCTCTTAATAAAATATATTAGTCTCTCGAACATAGATTAGCCTAGCACATAGCATATCTAAGTACAGGAAATGAGAACATTGACTGAGGTTCTAACTCAGGCTTGCCATTGGAGCACAGAACAAAAATAGGCGGGGCTTAGGAAGGGTGAATTAAATGTATATACCCTATAAAGATACAAAAATTACACAATTACAATTGTAAGGAAAACGATGATGGTGTCTTTTTTGTGTTATTTTCTTGTTCCTTTAACAGAGAAATACTTTGATATGAAGAAAGTCCAGTGCAAAGAAGGACTTGACATCTATAAGAAATTCCTTACACGAATGACAAGAATCTCAGAGTTCCTCAAAGTTGCAGAGGTAAGTCAGGACCCCAAATCAGCAAGACAGTAATTACAAAGGGCCTGGGATCATTTAGATCCGTGCAAATTCTGATACTCTGTTCTCGTCCTACAGCAAGTGGGAATTGATCGAGGGGACATCCCAGATCTCTCTCAGGTAATGCAAATTCAAAACATATCCATTTGGCATTGTTGCAATTACTTCAAATAACTTGCCTTAACTTTATCTCTTTGCTGGCTTTGCCAAACTAAAAAGAGGAGAATGGCCAAATTTGGGGGAATTAAAAATGAATATACTATTATTTATATAATGTGCATATATTTATAGAATATACAGTGTAACATCCCATGTATTTGCCATGACACAGCACACAAATGTACTTTTAGGTGGCAAATCGTCATGGAATAATGAATGAATACTGTCAATATGCAGCTGTAATTGAATGACACTTTTATATGAGTGAGCAGTATATGTATCTGCCATGCCCATAGTTTCTGTTTTATGTGCTGAGGTTATAAGATATCCAACACTGAGAATTATTCGCAACTACAACACAATGGAGTTGAGTAAAATTTTAAGGAATAGAAAAAAATATTGCTATTGAGTTTGATAAAAATGTTGGTGTTCTACCAACAAAATTCCACTCACCTTCATTGTGTTTGGGGACCAGAGAGTAGGGTTAAGCAAGTGAAACCAGTATCATCCGAATCTAAATGAGTCATTATCAATATAAAGTTGAGGATGTTCTGTAAATTGTTTTTAATAGCAACTTCTGATCAGCCCATGTCAATTTCAAATTTAAATTAAAGCTTTAAATAAAGTTTTTTTTTATATTTGTTAAAACAGAATTAGATAGATAGATAGACTGGCGTATTCACTTCTCCCTTTCCTTAACATCTTGTGACCTCGAGACTTAAAACCTGAACAGTTCACATGCAAATATATGGATGAACTGAGCCTTTAAATTTGCAAGGAATTCAGCAGCTCATTATTGTTGTTATTTTACATATTTTACATATATGTTTTAGTACCAGTTACACTACTAGGCCCACTGTAGGTTTAGTGACCTCCATAATGCGAACTTCCAGAATTTGGCTATTTTTGTCTTCTTGCAGGCTGCTAGCCCCCTGCTGCTTCAGGTCTAACATGTTCTAACACCAAGTGCTGTGCTAGGCAATGCATGGGCCCACTGCTGCACTCACAAACACCTTCCAACTCACACTCACTCCTGACCTTGCACGTCATACAGCAAATAAAGGTGTGAATTAAGGGTTTTAGTGTGGTTATATGGTAGGTCCAGTCACCTGCTGAAGTTGTGCATTATGTGCAGAATCTATTTATTTGCAGGCTCTGTTGTTCACTATGCAATTAGAACTTTGCAACTGTAGCCAGAATTAGAGCTTTCTCCCAAACATTTCTTGGTATCTTGACTGTTACCACCTTTATTTTCTGTATTTTCCCTTCCTTCTATCTCTCCATTTTCAGTTTACAGTTTGTGTAAGTATCTGGACCTTTTCTCTCTCTGTCTCTGTGTTTGAGAGTAACTCTGTTTGTGGAGTCTTGGCAATAACTTGCATGCTTCATTTTAATTTTTGGTATTTTTTCTTCAGAGGACATTTTGTATAGGGCTTTCCTCAATTTATGAAAGTTAATGTGTGTCAATTGGATTTACGCTAGGCCCCCAGCAGCCTGTTGGATGCCCTGGAGCAGCACTTGGCCTCTTTAGAGGGAAAAAAAGTCAGAGACTCAACAGCAGCCAGCAGGTAGGTTTGCTTCGTCTCTGTTCACTTGATCTGGCTCTATGCCATCCGGGCTCAGAGCAGAGGCTCATGTTTGCTTCAGCAACTTGATAGTATTGGACTGATTTTTAAAGTTTGTTTTTTTTTCAGCATGGAAGATAGTTCAACAGTTGTATTAGGACATGTGTACAAATGTCAGCTTGGAACAAAATTGTAGCAAAATAATTCCCACATTAAAATCCTTCAAAGGTCATCTACTCCTTCTATCTTATTAAAAATTCCAGAATTCACTATAAAGTATATAATATTCACTCCATTCTCAGTGGATGTGCGCTGGTGGCTTCCAGTTAATACATCACACTACACAAGTTGCATACTGGACCAGGATGGACTTCCAAACTAT